AAGTTAATTGCTTCATTTTTTAATTGTTTCGATATATAAATATAGGAAAAGAATTTTTCAGGAAATCGAATCAAGTCAAAAATGCTCCAATATTTTGTCGGTTATTGCAACTTTTTTCAGTTTGACTCATTTCCGATCAATGATGGATTGTTCAGCCTTGTCCAGTTTGAGTTTATTCATTGGAATACGGTTTGAACATTGATTTGATGATTTCAAAATCAGGAATTAATTAAATCTGATTCTGAAAAGGTAAGCCATCCGTCATCCGTCATTATTCTGTATTCTTCAAAAATGAACTATATAGATATTTCACTGGAAAAGAGCTGTAGCTATTCATTTCTATTAGAAATGATAAAAATGTCCGAAGGAATAAACAATCATACGCAACATAAGTGATGGGAACATTGGAAACGTGTCACTGAGGTAATGAAGCTTTTATGTTACACTTACGTAACGGACGTGGCTTACGGCATTCTGTTCAGCATTATTAATTGTGAAAGCAATTCTCCTCAAAAAATAAGTAATAAATCAATCGTACGACAAGTGAGTGAGACGTCCACAATTTCAAAAGCGTAGTTGCACAGCAAGATGGTAGAGAGATTTGATAAATCAATCATTAAATTTTTTATTATTTGCTTGGAGCTTAAATTTCTGGGTTTCCTTAAAGTCGAATTTGCATATTTCTAAATTTTTTCGAGATTTCGAAGTATAATTTTTCCTTATAAATTTCATTTAATGCAATATATAATTCGCTATAAAGGCACAGAAAAATAGGCTTGGAGTAAAATTCAGTAAAACATTGAAATACTCCTTTCTGGGGTAAATGCGAAATAAAAATTCCCAATTAATTAATTAATTGAGTTGATCATTGGAATTTTAGTGATTAAAAGGTATATTTTACCGACCTTGCCCTAAAGCTGAGCTGATAATTTTTTCTAAAAGCAATGTGCTGCTGTTATGACATGCTTGTTGGAAATTAACTTACCAACACAACAGTGAATTGAACAAAAATGCTTACAGTTAAAAAAAACACCTGGTAATAACAATAATTGGAGAAAGTTACAGAAGAAATGAGAAAATTTGTTAAAAAAAAAATTAAATTTGCTCTGTACTTTGATAATAGCATCGAATACGCCGTGTGGCTTTTGTTGATTCTTCTGATTCTCAGCTCTTGATTCTTTAGCTTCTGTGCCATTTCTCATGTTTGCCGACAAGTTTTCGAAATGAGATTCTCCCTTTGTTAGACCTGGAATTTTTTCTGATGTTGCCTGATAGCATCAAAAGGAGTAAATGGTTTGTTACAGTTTGGCCTCGTGAGGCGAATGATATGCATTTTTGTATCGGAATGTCTATCAAATTTTCCATTCTTGCTCCATGGTCGCGAATGTTTCGCAGCATATTTTCATGTGCATTCTATTATTCAAAATAGAAACATGCTTGAAATTTTGCTAGATTTGCGAAACTAACGAGAAGTTATTAAGTATCACTTCATGTGTATTTCCAAATAGTCCTTGCGGAACTACTTTTGAATCATGGCATACAGTTATATGGAGCAAAGATTATTCGGACTGAAAACGAATTCATTGCATATTTGCAGAAATTTGTTGCATATTTGTTCTACTTCCTACAAATTTATTCAATTTTCTACTTTTGCTTTTGCAAAACAAAAAGCAAATGTGATGTTGAAATCAATGATTTTTTATGATTTTTCGAAAATTTTCAATCATCAATCCTTTTTCCCAAATTTAGGAAAGGGATAATATAATTTTTGTTAGTCTTAAATTTCATACATTAAAATGTTTTCAAATTCACAATGTCTTCTTTGATACAAGTACTAATTGTTGAAATATCCCGTAATGATAAAAATTGCGCGATTTATGATAGCATTATTCATTGGTATTCATAACATATTATTAACAAAGATCACCTCAAGTAATTTTTATGAATCCATATTGTCACGACAATTGCAATGGAATGCAGTAAGAAGGGTGAATTTATTCAATTTCAACAACGATCGTTTATTCAATAGTTTTAAGATCATTCTCGACTACGATTCGGAATATTTCACGTAAAAAAAAAGGATAAGGAAGTTATTTGTATGCAAATCTTACGATTCTCATTAATTTCATAGGAAATGAACTAAAACAATTATTGTTTAATTAATTTTATCTCAGACGCTTTAATTTGTATACATTATTTTTGCATTTTGTAAAGCCCCGTCCTCAGCAGCTGCTTGATTTGGGCTTAAAGTAAGACAAATTAGCTGTTTGGAATGTTTCATCATAAGTGATTCCTGATCGATGATTTCTGATTAAAGCAAAACAAATTTATTTCCTGTGAATACAACTAAACGCAGGAAATATTCCAGTGCTTTAGCTATTCAGTTAATTAGTGGAGAAGGAAAGATAAGAGAAACAGGCAAGTTCTTCTATTGGTTCTTTTCAACATATTCTGTTAGTTGTCAACAAATGATACGGTAATATCATTATGCTATTTTAGGCGAAACAACATTGGGATATGAATACACTGGAAAAACAGCACCAGATGTAAATGAACATACAAATGCTCCCGAAGTTACGGAAAACAATTTTGCCCCTTTCATTTTAACCTCAGAAAATCATCTCACTATTGCTAATTCTTCCCAAGAAAACTCCACTTTAGTTGTTTCATCCTCAGGAGATTCCGCTCTTCATGTTTCATCACAAGAAAACTCAGCATTTATGCCAGTTACTCGTTCCGCAGAAGTAAGCATACAACTTTATACTTGAAAAAAGTCTACGAAGGATGAAAAAACATCAGAAAAGGTGACATTTTCAGATGACAGAACAGGATGATGAAATACAGCAAATGTCACAACAGAATTTACTACCGATAGGTTCTGTTCTGAAGCAAATATTCGCAGCTCAGTTATTGGATCGATTTCAACGCATAGAATATTTGATTATGAACGGTTCGTCTTCCGCCCCATAAGCGTATATTCCCCGTGATGTTCATTTGATGCCATTTGAGCTGTTTATGATTTCTGAAATGAAATAACTGAAGACATTAATTTCAGTTGGCGGACAATCGTAAAAATATCTACGATTAGATTGTGTTTTTGCGTCATCTATCATTAAGGAATCTCATATCTAAACATTCATTATACACGGAATTCCTTTTTTTTTTCTGGCCACTTTAATTAGAGTCCAGTTTAGTTTATATCATTAACTGTGGACGATGTCTGCCACAGAAAGTGTACTTATCGTTCATCTTTGGAGTATATGGTGCTGATTATCGCTTATTAGAATGGTCGGACGTGCAACTAAGAGATGTTATGATCGTACTTCTACAACCACCAGAGATACTGCTTCAAGGCAAATTACCAACTGATATTTCAATAAATGAAATAAAACAACGACCATTGCATATTCATTTGCGTGCGATCGCGGTTATCGAAGAGGAAAAACTGAAGAGCAATAATCGATACTAAATCCAATCTCTAATAATGTGATACATGGTCGTATCCGTGGACAGATCTGAGTATTGTTACCGTATTTTCCTTTTCCTTCATCGTTCCGTTTATCAACATGCAATCTTTGTAGAGATGCGACAAGTTTTTTGCGCACTTGTACAACATATTTTTAACGTCGTCTCTCACCATCACTTTTTAATGACTGCCCGAAAATTCAAAAAGTGATCATGTAAAAAATGCGAGTGTCAACAATGTCAAATCATGTGACACAAACACGCTGTAATGCTGAAATATAACAAATGTTGATTGGATCATTGACATCAGCTTTATATTGATTGCATTTTTATATTTTTATTTTTGCATCTTTTTAACCTTTTTCTTTACTCTGTATTAACTTGATTCTGCGAAAATCGTATGAAATGAATCGTAAGCCTTCACAGAAACTAGAAATCATGTTTTCTGTTACCAGTCACGTTTACACAAAGATTCTGAATGGCTCCTTCTTATTTAAAAATCTTTTGTCCGTCATGTTTCATCCAATTATGACTTTATTTCTAAATAATCGTTGCTCACAGTTAGCAATGATCAGAATCATACGATTACCACAATTTAATTGTATCTTGTTTCTCCTTCCATTTTTTATTACTATTAATTATACATTCACAAATATTCGCAAAGGTTTCATCATAAATCATTATTTCCCAAACACAAAGAAACCGTAGACCTAAATCTGAGTGCTGTAACTGCGGCAAAATCTTCAGCATCAAAACTGCACTGAGAAGATA